AAAAAAGAAAAAGTTTTCTGGGGACCAGCAGATGGCATAATGGTTATGTTGCTGGACTCCCATATGGCCTATCACAGTTTGAGTCCCAAGCCCACAGGCTTGAAACACATGCTGGGTGCATGTGCATGCATGCCCAAAATGCTAAGGGGAGAATGGAAGAGAAGGGATTGCAGCAAGGCCATCCCCTCTGGGGGTGATTTCTTGCTTTCTGCCTGTCTCTGTCTCTCTGGCAAGCAAAAATATCTCAAAAAAATTAAGTTTTCTAAAAAGTCAAGCTGTAGTCTGGGAAGAAATTTGCCAAACATAACAAAGGTCTTTGCAGAGCATATAAAGTACTTGTATAAATAAACAGATAAATGGGCTAAGCATTTTTAATAAAGGAAATGTTCAAATGGCCACATCAAGGACATTCAAATAAAAAGCACCACACAACAATCAGAAAGGTTAAAAAGGAAAAGCTGAGGCCAGTAGACAGCATACCATTTATGTTGTGGGACCCCACATAGCCAACTGTGATTTAAGACCTGGACCTGGTGGCTTCAAACTCATGCCAGGTGTGTGTGTGTGCACGCCCAAGATCTCAGGAGGAGAATGGAGAAAAGATTGCAGCGTGGCCATCCGCTCTGGGGGTGGTTTCTCAATTCCCCTCTCAATGTCTGTGTCTTTTTCTCTCTCCAGCGATCTCACATGCCCTAAGGGAAAAACCTCTTTAAAAAAAGACTGGAAGGGAACCAGCAGTTAGCGTAATGGCTATGTCGCTGGACTCCCATGTAGTCGACCGCGGTTCGTGTCCCAGACCCGGTGGCTTAAAACTCACGCCGGGCGCGTGTGCGTGCGTGCCCAAGATCCCGAGAGGAGAATGGAGGAGAAGGGATTGCGGCGTGACCATCCCCCCTGGGGGGTGATTTCTCGCTTTCTGTCTCTATGTCTCTCTCTGTCTGTCTGGCGAGCGCACGCGCCCTACAGCGAAAATCTCTCCAAAAAAAAAAAAAAATGACTGGAAGAAAGGAAAAGCTACACAAATATTAGGTGTGTTAGAATGTGGAACAACTGGAGCTATTATATAGTTGGTGAAATTTCAAATTGGAAAATTACTTTGGAAACCTGGCACTTTGTATGAACAGTACCAACGAAAGCTAAATATATGTATAACCTGAGACTATTTCCCTCCTAAATATGTATGCAAACATGATGCACACATATGCAGCAAAAGACACATATGAAAATGTTTATAGAGCATGGTTTATAATAGTTTCAAACTGAAAAGTTAAATATCCATAAACAATAAGAATAAACTGCAGGTATAACATCAATTAGTTTTATAAACAATATTTGGTGAAAGAAGTCAGAACGTAGGAAAGGAAGTCTATATAAAGAGTCTTCAATAAGTTAATGGAAGGGGCAGCAAGTGGCGTGGTGGTTGAGGCATTGGACTCCCACATAGCTAACCATGGTTTGAGTCCTGGACCTGGAGGCTTGAAACTTACACTGGATGTATGTGTATGTGTGCTCAAAATCCCAAGAGGAGGATGGAGGAGAAGGGCTTGCAGGAGAGACAGACAAAAAGCAAGAAATCACCCCTCAGGGGTGATGGACATTCCACAATACTTTTTCTTCCATTCTCCTCTCAGGATCTTGGGTATGCACCCACACGACTGGACATGAGATTTTGTTTTTCTTTTTTGAGAGATTTTTGCTTATAATGTCCACGCACTTGCTGGAGAGACACAGAGAGCAAGAAATCACTGGGGAATCTGGAGGGGCGGGGGGGAACAGCCACACTGCAATCCCTTTCCCATTCTCCTCTTGGGATCTTGGGCATGAAGGCATATGCCCCCAACGTGAGTTGTTTTATATTTATTTATTTATTTACTTATTTAATTGGGGGAGAGAGAGAGAGAGAGAGAAAGCAAACTGCCAGGTCCAGGACTCGAACCGCAGTCCTCCATGTGCTGCCGGCACCCTCAACGTGAGTTTTAAACTCCCAGTCAATTACTGGAACTGGGGTCCACTACGTGGGAATGTAGCAACATTACTATCACACCATCTGCTAGTCCCCAGATGGTGGTTATGAGTTTTAAACTCCCAGCCAGTGACTGGAACTGGGTCCACTGCGTGGGAATCTAGCGACATTACTATCACACCATCTGCTAGTCCCCAGATGGTGGTTATTATTATTATTTTTTTAGACAGAGAGGCACACAGACAGAAAGTGAGAAATCCATTCTCCTCTCGGGATCTTGGGCACGCACGCACACGCGCCGGCGGGACTCGAATTGTGGTCGACTACGTGGGAGTCCAACGACATAGCCATTTCACTAACTGCTGGTCCCTCCCAGATGGTGGTTATCTTTAAGGGAGACTGGTGGGGGGCAGTTGGGGTGCTGTTTCGTTACAGGATTGGACAATATATGAAAATTTATGGAGCTTTAATAATTTGTATACTTTTATCTAGTTACCTTAAAACTCATACTTAAGAAACATCAATTATTAAAAAAAAATCCGGCAGCCCTGTAACCCAGTGGTTAAGAGAACTGGATCATACATGAACCGCTAGGATTTAAATTCCACCACCGGCTTGAAAACACGGGGTTGGGGTTGGGGGTGGGGTTGGGGGTGGGGACAGGTTGCAGGTCTTGTGGGCCCCAAATCCCCATGGGATGGAGAAATGGATAAGGGATTGCACGACCAACCCCCACCTGGGAAGGTTTTCCGAGGTCTCTGGCAAGAGATCCCTCGGGCAATTGGTGTGTGTTTGTTTTTAAATGGAAAAGGCCGTCCCGGGCCCAGCAGCACAACCACACCCGGCAGGGAGCACTGCCGTTGGAGTTCAGGCGTCGTTGTCTCCGTCCTCTAGACCCCCTGGCCCGGCCGCAGAGGGCCCCTGGGGGTTCCTGGGGCCCTCCGGGCCCGCGGAGCCGCGGGCTCACAGAGTGGCGGGGGCGTTCCCAGCAGCCGGGCCCAAGCTGGGTTTACAGATGCTAATGGCCCGCACGGCCCGGGGGGTCGCCTGCCACACTACGTGTCCCAGAAGTCCCCGCGGCGGAGACGAACGTCCTGCGAGAACACGAGACGAGGGCGCTCCGAGGCGCGGACGGGACCTCCGCGCTCGGGAGAATCGCCCGAGTCGCCGCGGCGCGCCGAGCGAGGACTGCGGTACCGACCCGGCGCAGAGGCGCAGGTGTTCGGGGCTCTGCGCCACGTTTTCCGAGGCCTCTGCTGTGACGTCACTTCCGCCCCGGCTGTCAGCGCGGCTGTGCTGGAACGAGCCGCAGCGCGCCCCGCGACGAGGGGAGAGCGGCCTGTGGCTTGGCTCTGGACAGACTAAACCCGGAGAGGACGCCGGGGAAGCTGAAGGTGACAGTGTCAGAGCCCCCGGACGTGGCCGGG